GAGTGATGAGTCAAATTCGGCTGCTGTATGAGGTGCAGAAAGGGAAATAGTACTTGATGAAACTGAAAAGTTAAGAATGGCACCAGATTGTGGAGGACCTCAAAGACCAGGCAGAGGAGATATTGCAGGGGTAGCATTTAAAAGGCTCGTTACCTTATTGGACGTAGGTAATGAGGGGATAGGAAAGGAAGAGAAGGGCTCAAGAATACACCAAGATTTTTTTTAACAGAGCAGATTGAACAATGAATGGAGGCATTGATAGAAACAGAAGTCAAAAGTAAGAGCACATAGTAACCTAAGGAAAAATAATGCTTTGGCTTTCTACTATAATGGGTTGGACCCACTGACAGTGAGACCTTCAAAGCTTACCCCACTGCCATGTCCTCTGTTTTACAAGTGACCCTGGGCAAGACATTTCAACTCTATTTTCTCAAAAAACTAATTCAATGAACTCCAAGATTCCTTTTTGTGCTAAATCTATGCTCCTCTGACCATCATCCTTCCCATCAATTTGTCATTTCAAAATCCTTCCCATCCCCTGTTCACATGGAGAACCAGAATATTATCTACAAACCAGGTTCAACTTGAAGTCTTTCCAATGGCCAAGGCTTCCCTATTAAACCCCTTTGCTGCATTCACTACTATTGCCTTAGGTTCAGGACCCATCCCAAGCCCTATTTTACAGTTTTGCAATGCCACAGATGCATTTCTTTTTTTGTAAATGGTATTTTATTTTTTCCATTTACATATAAAGATAGTTTTCAACAATCATTTTTATAAGATTTTGACTTTGAAATTTTTCTCCCTCCTTTCCCTCCCCCCTCTTTGAGATGGCAAGCAATCTGATATAGGTTTTACATGTGCAATCATGGAAACATATTTCTACATTAGTCATGACGTGAAAGAAGAAAGAGAACAAAAAGGAAAAGCCACCAAAAAAAGTGAAAATAGTCTGCTTTGATCTGCATTCAGACTCCATAGTTCTTTCTCTGGATGTGGGTGCATTTTCTGCGTTTTGGAATTATCTTGGATCATTGTATTGCTGAGAAGGGATAAGTCAATCATAGTTGATCATCGCACAGTGTTACTGTTACCCACAGATGCATTTCAAATATAATAACATACAATTTCCATCTCCACAACAGGGGGAGAAGCCTTTTATTTTAGGCCCATTCTGGAATTTTTGCTTGAGTGCCCAGAATTTTATGTCTACAACACTATTCAATATAATTTACTTAAAACTTAAACCCTTAAATACTAAATTAACAAGGGATTCTGGACTTTGCTTATGTAATTGACAGGGAAATATTTCTTTCATCTCTCCCTACTGGCTTTTAGTGTTAATCTAATTAAACCATTCAATAAAAAATTTAAAATGTGCCACATTCATAGTGAACTTAAACCAAGCTCTCATTCATTTCACTTCATAAGAATAAACAGATGAACAAATATCTTTTTCCTAATCCTTGTTAATAGTAAAATGTCCCTAGAAAACACCTACCTTCTTTTCCTTTTCAGGATCTGGCTTCCTAAAGCCAGCTAAAAGTAGCACACTTTAATTTTTTATTGAATTGTTTACATTAAAGCTAAAAGCTGGTGAGTAGGACATGGGCAATGTTCTAGCAAGGGAGCCTTCTTAAAGGGAGCAATCACACAGGTAGGAGGAGAAGGAAGAGAAGACAGTGTCAAAACCCAGTGAGAAGCAGGTATCTGGGGAGAGGGAGTGATCAACATTGCCTTGCCACAGACTTCAGAGATTAGGAAGGATGAGGTCTGAGAAAAGGACATTGGATTTAGCAGTGAAAAGATTGCACAGGGTGGGCTTGGGGAGGAGGGGGAGTTACTCTAAAGGGAATAATTTCAGTTAAGTGGTAGAGATGGAAACTATAATACAAGACTTTGAGAAATGAGTTGAGAAGAAGTGAAGGCAAGGAAGGTAGATGGCTTTTTTTAAGTTTGGCAGTGAAAGAAAGGAGAGATACAGGATCAGGACTTGAAGGGATGACAGGATCTAGGGAAGGTTTGTTTGTTTAAGACAGAGGTTCTTAATATATTTTTGTTATCATGGGATCCCTTGCTCAGAATAATGTCTTTAAATGATTGAAGGAAATAATTCCAGCTAGCAGTTAGTGAAAATAAATGAATATATAAAACTAAGTTCATAGATCCCTGAAATTTATATATGCTTCCTGTAGGGGATCATGGACTTCATGTTAAGAACTCTTGATTTAAATGAGGGTGGCAATCTTGGCCTATGTGTAGGAAAGTGGCAAGAAGCCAGTAGATAAAAGAGATTGAGGATGGGGGTGGGGGATGGTCCAAGGGGTGAGTTCCTAGAGGAGACCAGAGGAGATGGGATCAAGGACACAAGTGGGAGACTTGGCCTTGTCAAGGGGAAGGGCTTCCTCTTTCTCTAACACTGGAGAAGGAGGAATTGAGGGATAATTTTGAAGGGATTTGAAGTTCAGAATTTGGGAGAAGAGCAAGCTTGCTTGCAATCAATGACCTCTATTTTCTCAGTCAAGTACAAAGTGAGTCCTCCATCTGAGGACGATGGGTAAAAAGTGATGTAAGTGGTTTAATGAAAGAGAAGGTTAGTAATAGCCATGGTTGGAGAACAACAAAGTAGTCTATTAGAGAAGAACTAAAAGAAATGCTATATGGCAGATTACACAGCATAAAATTTTGGTAAAACCATTCAATACAATGGTTTGGTATGTTTAGCAATCACAAATGGGAGCAGAGAAGTCAGATGATTGGAGTAACCTGGGATTGGGCTTTATGAGGGGAGTTAGGAAAAGCAGATGAGACAGATGAAGGGCAATTTAAAGTAAAACTGATTAACCATAGAATCAAGAGTTCAAAAGGAGGAAAGAATGTGAAGCTCTGGCGGTGTGATGTATTGAGGAAGAATGAAGGGGCAGATGGACTAAAGGTCATGGCAAGGATGAAGAAGAGGTTTAAGAGGAATGAGGCAAAAGGAAAGATGGAAGATTTAAAAGTTCAAGTTTGAGAAAGGAATTTCAGAGTTCATGAATCTTGCAATTGGGAGATTTAAAGGTAAGATAAAAACTGTGGCCATCACTGTATGTGGCCAGGGTGGAGCAGAAAAAGACTGAGAAAAAGCCTTTGGATTTAGCAGTCAAGAGATGATTGATAACTTTAAAGAGCATTGATTCAGCAAAGCTCACTTCCAAAGCAAAGATTCTATGACTCAATGACCTTCTAGGTCCCTTCTGGCTCTACGTTCTAGGAGCCTGTGGTACAAAAACAAGAGATAATGGAGTTTCTCCACGTGGTTCAGTAATACTAAGGGTTGTCCAATATGGATCTATTCCAATAGATTCCAATAAATCTCTAAAGGGATTTAGATTAGTTATTGAAAGAGTTCACATTAACACAATCTCACTTTACAGGTAGAGATTGTCAAAATATTTTGGAGCTTCCTTGAGGTGAAATATTCTGCCATTACTGATTCTATCCAATTAAGCCTAAATCAAACTTCTTTATTTTCTTGGCTTCAATTCAATGTAATTAGAGTTACTAAATACTGATGTTGTGCAGAAAATTGTGCCAGTCACTTGATGCAGGGGTGGAATTTTAGAAAAAACTGATCCCTGCTGTGCCCTGAGCTTGGCATAACAACAATAACCTCCTGCCCAGTATGTCTATAAGCACTGCCTGTACCCCAACATGTCAAACCCTCCTACTTTTCCACTTGCAAGTGTTTTCCTGACTCAGAAACCAATTAAACCAAGACTCAATTCCTGACATGCCTTCCTCCGGCCAGCTCTGTTTTGGCTCCAGCTGCTCCCAGGTTAGAGACCAGTCCAGTCTGGACTGCATTCAAAATTCTGTTGACAAGATAGAAAAATACTGCAGTGTTATTGTGCTTGACATAAGGTATCAAGACCATATGGGGCTTATTCTTCTAGCCTATGAGTTAATTTCAGCAATACCGCTTGTGCCCGAGCATGGGAAAAACGTATGAAAGTGAACAAACTTGCTAAGTCAAAGTAACCCAAATTGCTTGGTTGAAAATATTGAGGTAGGGATTCTCTACAATGAAACAGTTATTTAAGAGAGAATTAGATTTGAGTGTTACTGCATAACAATGAGGATCCCAAATCATCAGGCATGTATGGTCGTTGTTCGGTCATGCCCAACTCTTTGTAACTCTATTTGGGGTTTTCTTGACAATGATTCTGGAGTGGTTTGCCACTTCCTTTTGCACTGGATTAAGGCAAACAGTTTAAGTGACAATCACACAGCTAATAAGTGTCTGAGGTCAAATTTGAACTCAGGTCCTCCAGGCCGCCAGACCCAGCCCTCTATCCACTGAGCTGCCTCAAATATGTATTAGGCCCCTGTTGTATGCAAAGCACAGGGATGAAAGGAAAAGCTGTCCCTGCTACCTTAAAGGAATCTACATTTTATTCAGTGAATACAATATTTAAACATATTCAGTATAATAGTATTGGAAAAGAGGAGTCACAACTGTAAGTAGCCACTGTGGGAATCAGGTAAGAATTCTGGAAGGAAGTGACACCTGAGTTGAACACTGAAGGATGATAAAGACTAGAGAGATTCTTGTTAATGGAAAGAGTCCAGGACACAGGCAGAAGTCAGTGAATCTCATTTGATCTTAAGTAAATCACTTCCCCTCTTAGAACTTGTTTCCTCAGGATGTATGGAAACTACTTTTGTAAATGTTAAAATGTTAAATAAGTTATTGTTATCCCCATTTTATGGATGGAGAAACAGACATTTGGTTCTATTTTTTTTCTCTGATGGAGTTCTCTAATGATATAATTTGACTGGTTCTTGACTCTTTGTGATTCATTTCTTTTAAGGGGCCTCCATGAAGAAAATTTCTGACTTACCATGTTTTTGTTTCTGTTTTTCTGTTACCAAAAAGTAAAAGTTGATTAAAAGAAAAATCTTAAGTATTTTATGACCAACATGTAGAAAAACCTTTTTTTTTTGTTCCCCCCCAACAGGCTTGTATAGCATATGTGAATTTCATGATTTCTGTGGCTAAACTAATACGCCAGGATAAAGGACTGTCCATCAATGAGACCCAGATTGCCCTGGAAATGAATCGAGTCATGGAGTTGGAAAAAGAGATTGCCAATGTAAAGCATCTTGTCTTCCTTCCACTGAGTACCACTTCAGCTCCATTTCTATGCCTTTCTCCTCCCAAAATTGGTTTTGGTGGTGCAAAGACCAATTTTGTGCTAAGTGGTGGAAAGTCAGGGCCGTATAATGGAAAATGCTCAGCCTTTGAAATGAAAGAATCCACTGCCTTTCAAAACCTCATTGGGCTGTTTTATTCATGCATGGGATTGCTTCAGCAGCAGTAGCACAGGAGCTTAAAAATGAACCAAATATTGGTAATATTGGGCATTAAAGAGCTGTTCTTCCTTCCTCAATGATTATGGGGATTATTGGAAAGAAAAATGTCCTTGGGATTTAGGGCATCTGCTAGGGGAGTCAGAAGTTATTTCATGTTGTTTTTTGTTTTTGTTTTGTTTTCTCTTCCATAAAGTTTTATGTATTGAGTACAAGGTCACTATTGGGACTGACCTTTGCCCTGATAATTAAATTAAATTAAACAAACATTTCAGAAGTACCTTTTACATGCAAGACACTGTGGTAGGAAACAAAAGGGCATATAGAGATGAATAAGATGGTCCCTTCCCTCAAGAAGCTTATGATCTAATAGGGGGAGTGAGTAAAGCCAGATGTAAATTAGGATGGCTCTTATTACAATGTACTTTAAGAAGATTTGGAGAAGGAAAATTCATTTACAGCCAGAAGGAATCAAGGAAGACTTTTATTAGAGGTAGCACCCACAGGAAAATAATACACCAGATACTCCCTGGAATCCTTCCCATTTCTCACATTCTATGATACCATGTAGAAAGCAGGAGTGAATGTTTCCCATGCATGGGAACTGGCTTGCATGAATACATGAATGCCCAAAATGGCTTTGGAAACAGTGTGAGGTCCAATCTGGTCAGAATGTGAAGTGTATAAAAGGGAGTGATGTAAACAAAACAGGAGAGGCAAATTGGATCCAGATTGTAGAAAGCTTTGAGGAGTGCTCATTTCTGGGTAACTTCTGTCTAAAGACTCTTTTTTTTCCTAAAGAATTCCTGAAATAACTGTAAAAGCTTCCTAGACACAAGTTACACTTGAGTTCAGATATCAGAATCTTTCTCTGAGAGTCTGATGTAGAATAGCAGGTCACCTCTGGACTTGGCATGCAGAAGTACTGATTTCAGATCCTGACTCAGACTATTAATAGGTATATGATTTTGGACAAATCATTTTCCCTCCATGGGCCTCAGTTGCAAAATTGAAGAGCCATGGGATGAGGAGAGATGATGGTATGCAATTCAATTGCATCCCATTCTACCCTGACTGTAGTCCCATGGCTAAAGGCAGCTTGCCATGGTTATGGCAGTATGGCAGTATGGCAGCCCCTGGCTGCCATTTGCAGAAAGAGAACAAAGTGCATCACAGCTGATTTCAAGGACCCCCTTACTCTTTCATTTAATCCAGTTCTTTCTGAACTCCTGGGCTTTGGATGGGGATCTTTTTGGGCTCAGGTTTCTCAGGAGGAGAGTATTCAGTCTTGCCCCAGGCTCTCCCCAGACTCAAGGATCCCTGAGTTATCTCCATGTTCCTCATTGGTCTATGCAGCAGTTTTAATCCACGATTTACCATAACTCTCTCAATCACTCTAAACAACTCAGTCCCTGGTTATTGCTCCCTTCCAGTGGCAGAAAGGTCCTAGAAACCAAAAGTTTGAGGGGGATAATCTAGCTTCCCCAAAAGCCACAAAACCCAGAGGATTTTTTTTCTGCCCAGATTGTCCTCAGGGACATTTAGAGTTGAACAGCAATTAAATTTGCTTACCACAGTGCTTGGCACATAGTAAGTAAGCACTTAATAAACATTTACTGATTGACTTATTATTGCTTGATTTGTTACCTCTGACTCTGAAATGGCCAGCATAATCCAGAAGAAGGAGCAGTCATGCTTTTCTCCCTTCCAAGTCCAGGCGCTCAGAGTTTGTTTGCACTTGTACCTACCAAGAACTAAGTTCATAATAATGGCTAAATGCCTTCTATGTCAGGGTCTTACTTTCAGAAACTTTTCCAATAAAACTTCCCAATTTATTCTCTGTTCCAAATGGGAAATATCTTCTTGAGCTTATTCAAGAATGAATTGGGAATAGGGACAGCTAGATGGTGCAGTGGATAGAGCACCAGCCCTGAAGTCAGGAGGACCTGAGTTCAAATCTGAACTCAGACCAAACACTTAACATTTACTAGCTGTGTGGCCCTGGGCAAGTCACTTAACCCCAGTTGCCTAAAAAGAAAGAAAAAAGAATGAATTGGGCAAGCAAGCATTTATTATGCATCTACTGTGTACTCCAGGCACTAGGCATACAGAGACAAGCCAAACAGTCCCTGTCTTCAAGGACTTTACAGTTTAGTGAGGACAATACATACATATGTACATTTAAAATACATAGAAAGTACATCTAAATTGACTTTGAAGGAGATCTGGCAATTGGAGGGAATAGGCAAGACCTCGTGAAGAAAGAGATTCTTAGGCCAAGGCCTGAAGAAAACCAATAGATTCCAAGAGATGGAGGTCAGGGGAAGAACATTCCAGGTATGGGAGACAGTTCAAAGAAAGGCACAAAAATGGGAGATTGGGTCTTCTGTAAAAAAAAATAATAATAATTAAAAAGTAAGCCAGTATGGCTGGACCATAGAGTGAGTGGAGGGAAGTAATGGGTAGGAAGGTTGGAAAGGTCAATAAATCCAGATCAAATATAATTGAGCACCTGATAAGTGTAGAGCATAGAACTAAAAGCTATCATTGCCTTCAGAGGTCTTTCATTCTGACTGGGCCACTGACTTGATCCTCTTCCTGTTCTGCTTGTAGCAAATATGCACATTTTTGTTGGAAGTTAATGACTTTAGTGGCACGTGGTATGCCAAGAGGAAGAAAACAAGAGTGCTCTTGGGAGATTAATGACAGAATATATAAAGCCATGAGTGTCGAAGAAGGCTGTTATAATATGAAGCAGTTGGAGGAATGACTGAGATCCCAACTCACAATCTAGGGAGAGAGAGCTAGGTTTAGCAGACAAGACTAGAAAGCAAAGAACCCTATTGAGAAAAATAGACACCAAAGTCACATCATGAGCATTCTTATCCAACAGACCTGTTAACCACTTAAGTTTTCTTATGCCAAAAGTAAATTACAAATTTGTTATTGATGGTATATTCAGTCAAAAGTTAATCTGTGCCAACATTTGGTTTTTTTTTCCTGGTTACCATTGTTGCCAACAATTCTGCTAAAGCAAGAGTTCTTAATCTGGGGTCTGCAAACATGCAAGTTTGTGATCAGATTTCAGGTGGTTTGTGACTTGACTGGGGAAAAGATCATCTCTTTAATTTCCACAGATCTCTAACTGAATCCTAACATTTTCTTCAGTTACTTAAAAACATGATTCCAGAGGGGGTCCATAGACTTGGCCAGACTGACAGGACACAATGAGGTTAGTTAGGTAGGGGCCCCTGTGCTAAAGGCTCTCTTCTCATTCAGTTAAAAATAACTCTCTGCAATTACCTCTGCAGGCTACAACTAAATCTGAAGACCGGAATGACCCAATCCTCCTCTATAATAAAATGACCCTAGCCCAGGTCCAAAACAACTTTTCATTAGAGATTAATGGATGGGTGAGTATTGCTTCTTTTCAAATTTCTTTTCTTAAACTATTGCCTGAAAACAATAATTTCAGATGAGCTATTTTCTTTAAGAAAAAGCACATTCCTTCCTTAGTAAATGAAACTTGTTGAGCTTCAAAATGGATTTAAGTGACCCTAGAGTGCTTTAGCTACATAATTATGTATAAAACCTCATTTGAAATCATTACTTTGGTATTAACTTAGTTGAAATTCAGAGGGAAAAAAGTTAGCAGACCAACTATGGGATGATCTGAGAAACCATCCCAAAAAATCCTAGGACTCAGAAGTTTTCAGAGTCTTTCATATGTCTAGCCAACCTCAATAGGAGACCACTAGGGGAAGAGCCCAAAGGAATTTGTCATTTTTTTTTAAAAAGGGCCTTTGCATGAAATGTTATCTGTTCATGAGTGAGTTTTCAGACATGTCCCTTGTATCTGGGTAGAAATGTACCTATCTTAGAAATCTCTCTACCCTTCCCAGGGTCTATAGCCTTTTACAGAGAATGGATTAGAATGGAATTGAGTGGAGTAGAATAGAAGAGATAGAGGAAAGACTGTTCCATGCATCTGGAGGCCAAGGGCCTGGGACCAAATCCTAACTCTGCCATTGGGATCTGTGGGACTTTGAAGAAACATTCTGCTGTGCTGGGCTTTAATTTCCTCAGATGCAAATTGATGGGGTCAGACTAGATGTCCTCTAAGGTCCCTTCCAGTTCTAAATACATGGCCAGAATGAAAAAGTAAACATACACAGGTATACACAATTTGAAAGGAATGAGAGATGAGAAACCACATAGTGAAGTCGAGAAACGACTAGCCCAGGAGCTGGAAAAGACTGAGTTCAGGTCCTGCCCCTGATGTGTGCCAGCCATGTGTCCCTGGGCAAGTCACTCACACTGCCCAGTATCTTAAACAGCTCTCTTGGCGAGACACTTAAACTGCCTGGTATCCTAGACAACTCTCTAATACTGTGCCTTGAAGAGAAGGTACTGACCTGCATTATTAAAGGGAGTTCCTCATATTAATGAAATTACAGATCTGGTCCTTATCCATTAAAAGGCTTTCCTTTTAATGAGGAAACATGCATAATTTGACCAGCAGGCCAGTCAGCATCACAAATTTAACTCCTGAAAGTCCATAGACACTTGTCACATTTCTATAGCCAATGGTCCCTATCTCTTCTTCTGAAGGATAGACACTTGCTGTGGTTATTTCTTTCAAAAAAGAATAACAGTGAATCATCAGCATCAGGAAATGAAGTAGCTCCTAGTTTGTCCCCGAGGAAAAGCCACAAAGTCCCCAAAAAAGATTCGGAAGCATCAGCTTTTGAAAGAGTTTTCAACTGCTAGCTTGGAAATGATCCTCATGTGGGTGCTCACTTGAATTCCATCTTTTCTAACAGTCATCATTCTAGCTTCCATACACAGCTTGAAAGCACTTAGCATAGATTTTCTCCTTTGATATTCACATTCCTGCAAGTCAGGGATTATTACCCCCACTTTACAGATGAGGAAACAGAGTCTCAAAGGAGGTTAAGTGACATGACCAAAGGAGTAGTAATAACCAGGATCTTTATACCACGTTAAGGTTTGCCAGGAACTTTGTCTTGGCTCATCTGTCTCACAGCTGGGGAATAGGAACTGTGGGCAGAGCCTGAATTCCAACCCAAGCTTTCTCAGGCTTTCTCCACTCCACCCCACGCTGAATTTTTCTGAGAATAGGCTGTTGGGTTGAATATTCAATCTTAAAGGACTAGAGGGATCTGAGATACTTAGCAAAAGTAAGCCTCACCTTCAAACTTATGTTCTTAAGTGGATTCTAATCCTAAAGCTTCACCAAGCTTTTCACAGTCTCCTTTGGCTGACTTCACCAACTCCCTCTGATAAATGAGTAACCAGTCAACTTTTTCAAGTCCCATAGAAAACAATTCACAATCATGGCAACCGAGTCTAGATTCTTAGAATAGAAATGGGAGGGAAGAATCACAGTAGGCATAACATTGGTGGATTAAATCCATGTATAATACATGTATATGCATGTGTGTGCTATTTTTTCGTGTATTTTTTCATATTCACTTTCTTTTAACTGCCTTTGTGTGTGATTATATTCATGAGATGATTTTTTTTTCTGTTGTAAAATTAGGATCTCATTTCCTCTTGGTGTTGAAACAAGGTGTCCCTAAAAATATGTTGTTGACTTTAACAAAACATACTTGGTCATCAGTATCTGGTTTTTACCAAGAAGAATTTTTACAGAAAATATCAGTCCATTTCACTAAACCATAGTAGGATCCATAGTTGTTTTTCTTTTTTTTTTAATAATTTTTGGTGTTGGTAGAAACTGGCCACTAAGAGTTGAATTTCAGACAAATTTCTGTTTGTGGATTCCCTGCTCTTAGAAATAACAAAGTGATCTCTTAATTTGTGTTTTACCTGTCAAAATGTTTATGTCCACAAGCCTCATTTTCATTCTCAGAAAATGTGTTTTAAAAAGACTCTTGTTAGTTCTGGGAGCCAAATTTTAGAAGGACCTTGATAATCAGGACAGGATCCAGGGGACAGGATCTAGAATAATTAAGTGCCTCAAGTCCATGCCATATGAGGATAGGCTAATACAACTAGGGACATTGGAGGGAAAAAACACTTAGGGTGGGAGAGGGGCTTGATAACTCTTCAAGAATTTGAAGAGCTGTTATCTGAAACAACCATTAGATTTGTTTTAATTGGCTCCAGAGAGAAGATACGGGAAAAATGGGTAAAAGGTGCAAAAAGATGAGTTTAGGCATGATGTAAAGAAAAACTTCCTAATGATTATAAGCATCCTAATGTGGAATGGGCTGCCTTGGGAAGTAGTGGGTTCCTCCTCACTGGAGGAGTAAAGGTTGAATGGCCACTTGTTTCATATGTTGTTTTTTTAAATGTTTTTCATTTGTGATTTGGACTAGATGTCCACTGAAATCCTATCCAATCATACAAATCCTGATACAATAAAAAAGGCATTTTTAAGTGCCTTATGTGCACCTAGTATTGCCCTAGGCTCTGGAGATTCAAAGACAAAAATGTTTAGGTCCTTGTCTTCATGGAACTTTACATTCTCCTTGGGGAGGAGGGGACAATATGTATGTATATAAGTATATACAAAATGTGCCCAGAATATTTGAATACAATTTAACTTGGGAATCATTTCAAGCCTCAAAATTCTTTGTTGCTGTGATTATATATCCATTCCCAGCCTCTCTCATGATTTCTAGTTATCTAACACCAACTACCCACTGGACATTTCAGACTGTGTGTCCCATAGGCATCTTATATGCAATATGGCCAAAAGAAAATTCAACATCATTTGTTAAAAAACCCTTCCTTCTTTGGAACTTTATTATTTCTGTAAAAGGCACCATTTCCTTCCAGTCACGTGGCTTTGTATCCTAATTGTCATCTTCTTCTCCTTATCTTCCACTTATCTAATTCATCGCTAATTCTTTTCTCTCGCTCCACAATATCTCTTCCATCTCTCCCCTCCTTCATGCTCACATAACTATCACTGTTTTGAGCCCTCATCATCTCCCACTTAGACCATCATAGCAGCCTCCTAACTGATCTCACTGCCTCAAATGTCTGCCCCACTCCAATCCATCCTCCACCTTCTTGCCAAAGTGATTTTGTTCAGCTGTGACCATATTAGTCCCCTATTCAATAGACCCCAATGGTTCCCCACTATCTCTAGTGTCCAATAGCAGCTCTTCTGTTTGGCATTTGAAGTCTTTCACAACCTGGCTCTTAGCCACCTGGTCAGCCTTACATTGTTCCCCTTCACAAACAATATGATAATTCACCCAAGCTATCTTTCTTATTGTTTCTCCTACATGATACTTTATCTCCCATCTGTGTGCCTTTGCACTGGTAAAAGTGTGGATACCCCCATGTCTGAAATATCCTGCCTCTTCACCTCTGCCACCCAGAATCTCTAGTTTCTTTCAAGACTCAGCTCTCACTCCCCCTTCTACATATAGCATTCTATAACCTCCCCTTCTAGCCAATAGTGCCTAACCACCAAATTTCCATCTATCTGCTTTGTATACCTATATACATACAACTTATCTCCCCTTGTATAGATTGTATACTACTTGAAAGCATGAACTGTTACACTTTTTTTTAATTCAGTGCTTAGCACAATGCTTGGCACACAGTAGATACCTAATAAATGCTGATTGACTGAATAAGGAAAAAACGTTCTGAGATAAGTATCACCATCCTCATCATGGGTTTAGTACACTAGTGATAAAAGCAGCCTCTGTGTATTTCATCCTAGTATTTCATAATAGAATCTTGGGACCATGTAGTGAAATTGACAGACTACTAAACACGTGATGCCTGTTTTTTTCTAGCCATTCAACTGGGCAAATTTCACAAATACAATCATGTCAACTGTGAAAATTAGTGTTGCAAATGAGGAAGATGTGGTTGTGTATGCTCCCGAATATTTAATCAAACTTAAGTCCATTCTTACCAAATATTCTCCCAGGTAGGTGCCCGCCTGTCCTTTGATGAGTCACACTTTAATGTCACTATGCTCTCTAGAAGCCTTGCAGCCTCATCTTTCTTGTTGCCGGGTGGTGGTGTTTTTTTATACAGAGATCTTCAAAATTTAATGTCCTGGCGTCTCATTATGGATCTCGTAAGCAGCCTCAGCCGAACCTACAAGGAGTCAAGAAATGCTTTCCGGAAGGTGAAGAAAAATCTCTCTCTTCTTAAGACTTAAGCTTAAAGAGATCCAAAGTTGGGGACCTTGCTGCGTCCACCATGTGAATGTGGTGAACTTGGCAAGGGGGAAAAATGCCAAGTGCTAGCTGCCTAGCCCACGTGTAAATATGTCATCTAGGGGGGAAAAAATTTTGTTGCTCTGAGGATAGTCATCCTGCAGGGCCTGAAGTGTGGGAAGACACTGAATGCAAAGCAGTTCATAAGTGCCTGTTCTGTGTCGGGCGCTGTCCGAGGTGCTAGCTAAAAGACTTGCTCTCGGTATTCAATCATTACCTAAAGGAAGTCTCTTTTATAAGAAAGATGACAACTTCATTGGTGTCACTGCTAGAATTTAATCAGCAAGGTAATTGACTTCCATGTCAAGAGTGTATAATTTAAAGAAAATGCAGAGACATTTAATCGTACTATAGCCTCATCAGATGCAGAGTTAGAGACAGCCTTAGTCATTCTTCTAGAGCAGAGGTTCTCAACCTAGGACCCATGAACTTTAAAAAAAATTTCTTTCCTTTATAAGCCTATATATTTTACTCAATGAATTTAAATAAATTGTTCTGAGAAGGGGTATATAGGGTTTTCTAGAGTGCCAAAGGGGTGTATGATGCAAAAAAAAAATGTTCAGAACCCTGGATTTAGACCAACCTTCTCATTTTACATATGGGTCCTGGAAGTTCATAGGATCCTAGGTCTAGAATTGGGACCAGCATCTTTGGGTTTTCAATGAGGAAAGAGAGGGCCAGAAACTTTAAATAATTCACTAAAGAATATGCAGGTAACCAAGGTTTTCGGTCTTCAAAGTAGATGCTCTATTATATCATGTTGTCTCTCTGAAATTATCTGTCCAAAGTCATGGAGATAGGAAGCAACAGTGCTGGGGTTCAAACCCAGATCCTCTAACTCCAAATTCAAGGTTCTCACCATGGATACTAGAATGTCAGGGCTAGAGCCTTTTGAGATCATACTGAATGTGTTGTACATACTTTCTAATAACAAGGACTTTCCAGATGTCTATGTAAATGAACTATGTAATAATAATAATAGCATCTATTATAGTGCTTTCAAGTTGCAAAGTGCTTTATAGTCTCTCATTTGATCGTTATGATGACCCTTGGAGTCAATGCTATTATTACCATCATGTTACAAATAAGAAAACTCAGTGACTTCCCTAGAGTTACACAGTAAGTGTCTGAGGCAAGATTTGAACCCAGACCTTCCTGGATTCTAGTCCAGAACTTTATCTACTAAACCATCTAGCCCTGGAAAATCCATCAACATCACTTGTGCCTGAAGAAAACCTAAAAGGCATACCTTGAACCATATTTAAAACAGCAGTCATTCAGAGAGCACCATAGGGAAAGTGAAGTTCTGTGGAGAAGGGGAATTATTTCATTCACCAAGTTATTTAGCTTTCAGCTATTTGCTTAATGCCATGGAGATTCCTTAACATCAGGAGATTCTCAAACAGGACAGTCTCAATGCTGTAGCTTCTTGTACTTAGTGAAATCCCTTTGTTGGTACTTGAATGGACACCTACTTGATGCTTCTAGCTATGAGAATTTAAACTGAAATATTTCCAGGCAGGAATATTTTTCTGTTTATGGGAGAGTGACCTGAAAGCCTACCCTTCTCATAGATGGAATAATGTATGTACATCTGTTGAACATTAATCTTCATTTATATTGACAACATAGATGATGACCCAGTAATATATTCCATATCAGTCCTGAAAAAAATATTAACATGTAGCTACAACAGAGGGTTTTAAGGAGGCATTTGAACAATGGTCCAGATCTCATAAAAAAAAAATTTAGATAAATAATTTAATTGAATGGTATTTTTCTCTGCATTAGGAACGTGTACCCATTGAGTGAGGTCTCTGAATAGGACTTAAAGACCTTCGAGTCTCTCTTGGGATTTAAAGATTTTTGAAAGCATAGAATTTCACAAAGTTTTAACTTGAAGCCCTGGACTCCTAGACAAATCACCACAAATTCTATTTTGTATTTCCCCTCAACAGGCTCTTTATGGCACAACATCTGAAACAGCCACTTGGCGACGTTGTGCTAATTATGTCAATGGGAACATGGAAAATGCCGTTGGACGACTTTATGTAAAAGCAGCATTTGCTGGCAACAGCAAACACATGGTAATGTTTTTGGCACAATTAACTCTGTTATTTATTTGTACTTAGCAATATAAGGCAGTAGCCAGAAATGTAGTTAAGCATCTTATTTATAGAGTATGAAGTCTGTAATTTTTGCTTTGTTATCCCTATAAATCTCATCAGTACTAGGTCCTTTTTTTTTTAAATCAACATAAAGCCCATGTAATTTTGGGGTTTTTCAATTCCTAATGCTTTTGAAAAGTATTTAAAACATGAAAAATTTATCAGGAGACATGAAGTACATAAAGAAAAAATGGATAGATACTACTTCTGGATAGCATTTGAGCCTCACTTGGTCATGTCTTTGTAACTTTAAGGTGGCAATGTCTGAAACCAAAGAGATTCAGCCTCCATAGCACTCCTGGTTTTTCAGGAAGCTGGCAACCCGTCAGAGGCCATCAATATGCCTCATTCAATTAAAGTATCTTCCAGGCTGATTCAAAATAGTCCCAGTTACTCCAGGATTCTGTCTGCATAAAGGGGTGTGTGAATTACTTGGGACAAATTAAAATAAATAAAATAATAAATATATTTATTTTAATGATTTGAGTTCGTCAATATTTTTACAATAAACCTTACTTTGTTATACCTTTAGAAAACATTTTGAATGTGTAATATATCTGCCTTTTGCTACATTCACTTGTTTTACATAATTTGGCATTTTAAGTTCCAAGGATTTTAATATATGTATTCCTTGATTCTTCATCATAAAACCACACTTTTATTACTTTGGATATTAGGCATAACTTTGACAAAGTTATTTTTTTCTAAGTCTAGCCCATAACTTTTCAATGGGGATTATTCAGATGGATCTCACTGAAGTAGTTTATCTCTATCTCATGGGTAAACTTTAACTTTTCGTGATGCGAGATGTGGTGAAAGATTGTACTGCAGTATTTTAGCACAATTTGGGAATTTGTGTCATTCTCCCTCAATATGTTAACATGTTTATCAGAAGCCATCATTCCCTCAATGGAGAAAAGATTTCTAGGCTAACTAGAAGAAAGAAAAACAAAAAAGAGAAACAAAACATTTTTCTGGGTGGATGTTTAAAGTGTGATGAACATATCTGACAAGCTTACCTTCACTCCTAAAGTATCGGGAGCTCCTGCATGCTCCATGTCAGTTGCATCAGTAAAAAATACTATTTTCAAATCTTCAGCACCTAACTTTTATATCGGGCAGCTACATGGCAATGTGGGTAAGAGCACCAGACCTAGAGTTCAGAAACCTGAGTTCCAATCTGGCCTCAGACACTAACTAGCTATATGACCCTGGGCTAGTCACTTTAGCCTATTTGCCTCAGTTTTCTCCTCTATAAAATGAGCTGGAGAAAAAAATGTCAGCCTCCAAATGGGGTCACAAAGAGTCTGACATGGCTGAAATGTCTGGACAACAACAACTCATGACTGGTGCTTTTTTCCTCATAGCGTTTTTTTTTCACTGATTTTCCCCTTTTGTTCCAACTTCAGGAATCAATAACAGCGCGTCTGCTTGCCACATCACTCTGACCATCTTTGCTGTTTTCTAAGGATTGTTTCAACTGTTTAGCAGCAATAATGTGACATTTTGGCTCCCAGAATAATAGATGTAGAGCTGGAAGTGGCCTCAGAGGTCATCTTGTTCACTTATATCATTTTACAAATGAAAGAGCTGAGGTCCAGGGAAATTCAATGGTCAGCTTTTAGCAGGTTTTGTTGTTGCTGTTCTTGTCGTTTGTTTTGAAGTGTTTTCTTTTGCACAATCATTTAAGCATGCTCTGGGTGTTCCCTACACGGATGCTGATGAAATCACAGATCTGGGCCCCCACCCCCGCAAAAAACAAACACACAGAAAGTTTGAAGCACACTGTCATCCACAGTCCTGAGGAAAGCACAATTTTACTTCTGGGCATCTGCCCTGGTGCTAGTAGAAACTGCAGTAAATTACCTTGCAAATGGAGATTTTAATTTTCCTTCTTTCTTTAGAAGGCATTATTCTGCTGCAAAGTTAAGCACTGAGTCACTATGTTGTAACTGAGTTACTGAGCTCCTGACTCTGGGAGCCTGGGAAGCTCTTTAAACAATGAACTGACCCTCTTCCTTTGCCTTGCATTCGGTTTGTTTCAGGTAGAAGATCTGATCTCGAAGATTCGGGAAGTTTTCATTGAGACTTTAGATGATCTCACTTGGATGGATGCTGAGACTAAAAAAAAAGCTGAAGATAAGGTAGAGACAAAATCAGATCTTTCCCACCAGAGGAGGGAGGGCTTTCATGAGGGTTGTGGGAAGGGGCACAAAGCAAGAAGAAAAACATCACAGTCAAGGATCAGAGCATGAAAAATAAGCATTCTTGCAAATGCTAGCCTGCAGTATATGCTCCTTGATAGCGCTTTTCCTATGGGCCTCATGCTTTTTAGTGAAAGTGTTGTGTGGTCGTAGATCATTCCAAGGTTCATCTTTAAACTTCTCATATGCTTGTTTCTATTCAATGTAAGGAAGAGATAGAAAAGGCACAATTGTATAAAGTGAAGCTAAGGATGTGAAGACCATTGAACTGGTCACAGTTGTTTTGGTCCCTGGCAAACCATCTACAGCTGGGATGTTCTCTGTTAATCCCCAACTGGACTGCAAAACTCCAAGAAGAAATTGAAAAACCATGTGCAGATGAGACTTGTGTTATGTCTTAGCAATTTTTCTAATTTTTAAAAATATGAAATGCATGGTTATAAATCACATCAATTCTCCCGGCCTCAGCTTCTTCACCAGTAAAATGAGTATATCAGGGCCAAAGTGATTTGTAAGCTTTAAAGCATGGCATGCATCAGCTATTGCTGATTGTTGCAGCTATTATTATTATGATGTTGTATACATACTGTATTGAGAGAAAATCTGGCAGTGTAGAGGACTGACTTTGTTTGGGTCCTCCCCGATGGGATCACAGGAACATAGATATAAAGCTTAGTTACTCCAATCCCTTTACCTTACAGATGAGGAAACTGAGGCCCAGGGAGTTTAAATGATTTACCCAAGGTCACACAGGTAATGAGGCCCAGAGGAAGGATTTGAACCCAGATCCTCTGACTCTTAAACCTGTTCTTTTCCACGATATTGCACTGTCTCTCTGGGGCAGCTAGTTAGTGCTACAGTGGATAGAGCACCAAACCTAGAGTCAGGAAGACCTGAGTTCAAATTTGACCTCAGATACTTACTAGCTGTGTGACCTGGACACTTAGCCCTATTTACCTCAGTTTCCTCATCTGTAAAATGAGCTAGAGAAAGAAATGGCAATGATCCCAGTATTTTTGCTAAGAAAACCAAATGGAGTCAGGAAGAGTCAGATACAGCTGAAAAATGACAGACTGACCATCCTTTCTCTCCTAGCCCAACTCCCTCATTTTCCATTCGAGGAAACAGAGCTCCAGACGGGTTAGACTTGCCCCAGGGCAAGAGCTTGGGTCCTATAATGATGAATCTGTCACTTTTTCTGCCATAGCATGTCAGCTCCTAACTTCTCAGGATCTAAGGCACCTTTCTGAGCCCACAAGTTATAGATAATTTGCCAGTCTTCATTGGTGGAGGGAGCTTTCACACGAGGAATTCTTTACATTGATGAAACCATATAGCAATCAATCATTGCATCAAAAAGCCTTTATCAAGTGCCTGCTATTTGCCAGTCACTGTGCTAGGCACTGAGGCCATGAATGAAAAAGTGAAACAAACCCTGCCTGCCCTCAAGGAATTTACATATATGTGTATATATGTTGTTGACTATGAATGTACATACACACATATATATTCATGCATATAATAGCTGTACATATATTATATAATATGTGTATATATATTATACTTAACTATGCACATTATAAACATAAATATACATTATGTATACAAAATAAAAACAAATACATGTGATACAGGTATAAATGTACAGTATGTATTATGTATATGTATTGTATACTTAACTATGTACATATTTCTAAATATAAGTATACATTATATACACAAGATATATGTGTGTATATGATACATGTGTATAAATATTGTATCACCTACAGTTGTAGAATTGGACAAGGACACTTTGAATTCCACAAATACATAGTCAGTTTGCCCATTGTCTAAGAGTAATTCACCACAAATGAGTAAGACCCTTTTGAAAGTAGCCTTGACTCTTTCAGACCAATTTTCTAAGTGGTAAGTTAATAAACAGTGTCACTCTCACCTGGTGATCTCTATCATGTCCCCTTGGACCGTGACATTATGGGGTAAGATTAATAAATTAGAGTTAATGTTGATAAGAAATAGTTTCAGTTGGCCAAATCTATATCAAAGATCAATTCTATTCAAATTATGAGGAATGTCAAACTAGTGGTATTTCCTTGTATGACCCAAGAGAGAAGGAAAATGCTTTAGAAATAACTGGCCTGGATTTCAGCAAAGCTTGATTAAGTCTTTCAAGTTCTTGTAAAGAAGATGGAGAGATATAGGCTTGGACTTTGTGTAATGGCCATGCCCAAAGAGTTTGCTCTTCGGTTTCATTCATTTATGGTGTGCTGTCACACTGGAAGGAGGTCTACAGTGCAGGGTCTTTGATGCAATAAGGTTTTAGTGACCGGACTGAGAACACATCTAAAGGGGCATCTGAGTGACGAGGTCATCTCTACAGATTCAATCTGAGCTGAGGCAGTCTCTCAACTCTCAAGAGCAAGTTCTCAACAACAGGCACAGGACAGAACGTACTGGCCTATTTGCTCTCATTCATACACGTCATGTCATTTTCCAACTTGATGTCTCCTATCTAGCTGTCCCTCCTCCCCTTTGCCTCTTAGGATCTTTGGCTTCCTTCAAGACTCTGATCAAGCGCAGGAAGCTTTTACCCAGTCTCTGCAGCTATTAGAGCCTTTCCTCTGAGGTTACCTTCTATCTACTTTGCAGTTTTGATGTACTTACTTATTTTCCACTTGTCTCTCCCCATAGAATATAAGTTCCCTAAGGGCAGGCACTGTTGTTGCCTTTCTTTGTATCCTCAGCACTTAGCACAATGCCTGGTATATTTGGCTGGTCGGTCATTTTTCAGTCATGTCCAACTCTTCATGACCCCATTGGGGTTTTCTTGGCAAAAATAGTAGAGTGGTTTGCCATTTCCTTCTCCAGCTCATTTTACAGATGAGGAAACTGAGGCAAGCAGGGTGAAGTGAGTTGCCCAGGGTCACACAAGTAGTAAGTGTCCGAGGCAGGATTTGAACCGACTTCCTGACTCCGAGCCCAGCATTCTATCCCCTGTGCCACCTAGCTGTCCACCTGGTATATAGTAGGCACTAATAAGTGCTTGTGGACTGACTGATGGTACACTATAGCCTTGATAGTGGCAAACCATGTGTTTGTAATACCTGTCATACAGATAGACAGTCAGACATTGAGACCCTTAGTTGAGGGTGGACCAAAGATTGTATAGAAAGGAGCTTTCTGTGAGCCAGGCAACAGCAATCCCTGTCATCACTCTGTCCAGTTTCTCTGCTGTCCAATGTAGATAGGCACATTTCAAAGGGACCTTCCTCATCCTACCACTAGGAAGTAGCTCAGCTTCCCATAATACAGGCTGTCCCACTGCCAGGTCGTCTCACGTCTCCATGCAAATTCTGTGTGCTCCCCACAATTGTTTTTGATAAAAGGGGCAAACCCACTGAGTGAAGGGTACCATTCTATGCTCCAAACCTTGTGTAATTCATAGTCTGCTATGCACAGAAAAGAGAACCCACCCCCCAACATGGCTACGTTGTGACAATTTATTGCAACATTACCATAGTCCTCTTCATTGACGTTGACAAAGTCGTTCCCATAAGTGTTCTGAAGCCTCACTCTTTCAGGACCAAATGAAACAAAGGGAATTAATTACGCAACTGCAAAGTGCAAATGAATAGTTGCATTTATATTATAGAAATTTCTTGGGAGAATTAATTCCATATGTAGACAGATGTGAAACTCACTGAAGTTTCCAGGTCTGGGTGTCAATAACCTGTCACCGGTAAGGAGCATAAGAATGGCATGCATTTAACATGTAGGCAAGGTGAGCTGGCAAACATACTGAAGGACCATTCGTCTTTCCCATTGGGTGAAACAATGCTATTCCCCTGACCTTGAAGGCCTGAGGCCCCATAATCTACAATGATTGTCTTGAAAAATAACTGGGTTGATGATATAAACCTGCAAAATTGGTATGGAGCCCCTAACATTGTCCCAAGAGCATCTGTCCTAAGCCTGCAAACACTTGCTGTTTCCTCAAGCAGATTAATGTAGTGGAAAGATGATTACGGGAGGCTGGAATGGCAGCCCATGCCATCAGCCCTCACATAATATGTAAGCGAGAACTTTTCTTTAGAAAAACAATTTCATAAAACACAGACACATATAGGCAGCGGTGCCTTGTCAATTTTCATTTCGGGTAAGCTTCTTGGGAAAGCCGCACCAAATGAGAAAGGCCCTGTCAAAATGAAGCACCAGCCTTGTTTTTGGCACCGTTTGGACTTTGTGGAAAATGAGATTTTTCAGTGTGCCCTGGGGATCTACTATTGACAAGGTCCTGCTTACTTGAGGGTACGTAGGTATTAAGAGGTTTGGAGGTTTTTTTTGTTTGTTTGGTTGGTTTTTTGCAAATGAACTTTTTTAGGTTCTTTGTGAAATGTGATTTTTATTTCACATTTTTCCAGTCAATTTTCAAATTCAATCTTCTCATTTTTATAGGCCATGGCAATTAAGGAAAGGATTGGCTATCCTGATGACATCATTACAAATGACGAGAAACTGAACAAAGAGTACAATGAGGTAAGTCTGTAAGGAAATGGGGCAAATGATGCTCAGAGCTGGTTGAACTGCATTTACCGCAGGACTGTGGGGTGTCTTGGCATCATACAAATTTTATGTTGTATTCTTTTATTTTAAATGTTTTCTTCCTGTCCTTGACACATTTGGCTCTGTGAGCCTCGTCATCTGACTTCTCAGGGCCCCAAGAAAGTGCCAGACAGTGTCCTGACCTGCATTCTTAAAGGGGCTTTCCTCATTGACTCTCCCTAGACCAATGAAATCACAGGTCCATACAATAAGTTTAAAAAAAATTGTGTTTAATTCAAGTCAACAAACATTTAGTAAGCATCTACATCTAGTAAGAAGGAAATGGGGGCAGCTAGGTGGCACAGTTGGATAGAGCACCGGCCCTGGATTCAGAAGGACCTGAGTTCAAATCTGATCTCAGACACATAACATTTACTAGCTGTGTGACCCTGGTCAAGTCACTTAACCCCATCACCTCGCCAAAAATCAGAGGTGTGGAGGCCATGTATTCCAGGAAGGGCTGGGTGGAGGTGGACAGCCTGTGCCAATAGACAGAAGCTGTTGGGAGAAGTGTGAAATTGGGTACTGCAGAATAACTAAAGCCTAGACTGTGTCCTAGGAATTAGTGTGAGAAAGGGCTCCAAAGGACCTGGATTGTGAAGTGTAACAAACATTAAGCTGGGACATTTTTATTTTATTTTAGGGGCAATAGGTAGCCATTTGAATAAGACAGTGGCATGATCAGACCTATTCCTCTGGAAGATTATTTTGGCAGCTCTGTGAACATAGATCAGAGGGGTAAAGTAGAGCAGGAAGACCAATTACAGTAGTCAGGACAGAGGTGATTTTTGAAGAGCTGAATCAGGGCTGTGGCCAAAGGAAAGAAAGTATTAACTCACAATCACCAGACTCATCTTTTGAAACTAACAACACCTAGTTGCACACTATGTCTGTAAGAGTCTCCTTCATTGCTTCAGGCTGGGATCCTACAGGCACGGATTCTAGTCCCAGTTGTGTTTAAAATTATTTTAGCGTCTAAGCAGATCAGTAACTGAAAAATAGTCAGAGGAAGAGAGGGGGGTTTGAAAGAGGGGAGAGGTTCCAGGTCAGGAGCAGGGAGTTTTGCACCATGTATGGCCCTAGCGCTCATGGCCATCCATGCCTAAGGCTCCTAGGATCCCTTCCTTCCCTGTGTTCTCCTTCAGATGGCGAATGTCAGGGCGTATTACTTACTCTTCCAGATACCACATTTTCATAGCTCATTTCCTCTCCCACAAACATCCCATTTCCCGAGGCTCCTCTCATCTTTTGAGGTTATTTTTTAGGTTCTGTCTTCAATAAAGTACATGCACACACGCACACATGCACACACACATGCCATCCCCAACCTAGTGAAGATGAATGACAATAGATTAACTCCACAGGGAATTTAACGAGCTTCAGAAGGGTGTGGACAGATATGTAGAGCCTCAGCCTAAAATGTCCACTCTTCCATAACAGCGAAGCCCAAAATGAGGGAGCAAAGAATCCAGAGTAGGAGTTCTGGTCAATTGTGAACAGAATTCCCAGTCCTAGCATGAAAATATCTAAAAGTGAAATCAAGCCAATCTGCACACTCACACTTAAACAGCTAAAATAAATTTCTGATCAGTGATTTTATTTTTTATTATTTTTTTTTGGAAGGGAGAGAGAGAAAATAAATGTTTGAATGCTTATTTGTTGCAAAAAAATAAAATAATGAAATTTAAAAACAAACACAAAATTGAGGACTAGCCTGCGTGGGTCCTGGTTCGCTTTTCTAATGCAATTCAATTCAAAAATCATTTATTAAATGCCCATTATAGGACTGAACTATGCTGGGAACTGAGGGTACAAAGACAAAGAATTAAATCTTTCCTGCCCTCAAGGGGTTTAGGGTCTTATCATCTAGGAAAGTTTCCTCTGCCTGTCTCCCTCCCCTCCTTGTCTTCTCTTTCCTCTTTCCCTCTCCTTTTCTAAACTCTTTGCTCTTTCTTTCTCTCCTTTTTTCTCTCTCTCCTCCTTTTTCTCTCTTCTCTTTTCTCTCTGTCTCTCCCTCCCTTTCTTTCTCTTTCTCTCTCTCTCTTCCTTTTCCCCCTCAATCATTTGCTTGTTTGATGGCTAAGTTAACGAGAGAGAAGAAAGGAAAGGCAAAGACGGGAGGAGGTGAAGGGTGGTCCTCTTCACCTCCCTAGCCAGAATTCAGACCTTTCTTCCGATGTAGTCACCTTCACTCTTGCTGTGACTGGCCACCCCAAAGTGAGTCTCACCCCAGAGTCAAAGGAAGAGCCTGCTGTCCTGAAGGCTTTTCCATCTCAGCTTACCATTTCACATCCTTGACTCAAAATTATTAAGGTCTGTAAAAGCCCAGAGCCAGTTCTATGTACTTATGGTACCTTTTAACTTTCTCATTACCAATGCCTAGAGGATATTTTTAGGGGCACCATAGTGCACAGAGGGCCAGGCCTGGAGTCAGGAAGACTCATCTTTGTGAGTTCAAATCTGACCTCAGACACGTACTAGCTGTGTGACCCTGGGCAAGTCACTTCACTCTGTTGGCCTCAGTTTCTTCATCTGAAAAATGAGCTGAAGAAGCAAATAGCAAACCACTTCAGTATCTTTGACAAGAAAACCCCAAGTGGGCTCATGGAGAGTCAGATATGACTGACAACAAGAAGAGAATATTTTTACTTAAAGGATCTTTATAAGGGTATATTGAAACTGAGCTAGCCATGTCAGTGAGAGTACTGAGTCCTTCATCTATTTCTGCTTGGACATGCATGTAGTCTTTTGGAAACAATTAAGGTTATTACTCCTTAGTTTCATTGTTAATAAACAGAGGAAAATCTGAAAATCTCTTTTAGTTCAGTTAGAAACTGGATTTACAGCTTTTAAACTGGTCACAGTAAAAAACCATTTGCCAACCATGAAGGATAGATATTTCCTTGTAAACAAGTTGTTTCTGTTTTGTTTTTTGGTGGGCAGATGGTATGGAAGGTGCAGGTTGTAGGGTCATGGTAGTGCTCAGATTGGGGTGGTAGAAAAACAGAGTGAAGGAAATTCAAGAACCACTTGTTTCAGCCAAAACCGAAATAATGGAGAGAACTTCAAAGCCTTAAAAAAAATGCAAAGCACAATTTGACATCACTGTATGTACCAATGACAGTATCATTATGAGGGAAATAAATTTCACACAACAAAACTAGGATTTTTAGGCCAACTTTTCATATCCTATATAGCGCACTAAAACATTGTATATGGGAATTAATTTGAATGATACATGGTGACAAAACATGTTTAAAGCATGCATTGAAGATGAATTTTTGTTGTTGTTGTTTTTTTGTTTTTTTTTTCAGTGGGTATAATGCCTATATGCAAAGAAATACTTTAGATCATTCAAAGTTATTAGGACTGGGGACAAGATCAGGCATGTCCTGTTCAGGTGGAATTGTCTCTTTGAGCTCTCACTACTTTGTTAATGAATAAGCATTGGTTTAGATGACCTCTGGGGTCCCTCCTAGCTCCAAGTCTGTGAACTTCTACACCCGAGAATTCCTCAAGGCCATGGTCACCATCTTGAACATCTCACAGATATCTCCTAGTACATTTCATTGTTTGGTTCCCACAGCTCTCACTGCTTTAAGGATGCTGATATTTCAGTTGGGTTGAATCATCCTTAAAGTGTTTAGCAGGATGGATGAGCCCATTTGGAAATGAACTACTCTACCTCGAAATGAGAGTGTCATTGCACACAATCTATGAACTGCACTCACAACATTCAAAACATAAACAAAAATTATGGTGTAGTAGAATCTCTCTGATATTTGTGTACCTTTAACTAATTGCATAGTTATAGAATTAATGAATCTCAATCAATTTTCCCATTACTCTCAATCATTTTCTCTGCCTTTCCTCCCAGAAATATGCTTCCCATGTCACTCACTACTCTCCTCGATGAACTATCTTCCTTTTCAGAATGTAAGTTCTGATAAGGTAGAACCTTCTAGGTCTGGCTTGATTGTACGTATATCCCTAGTGCTTAGAGCAGTGCCTGGCACACAGTAAACACTTCAATAAATGTTTCTTTTTCTTTTATTCTGTCATTCACTCATATAATCAATTGATGATTCTTCTGTGACAAGCACGTGTGACCTTGCTGTGTGACTTGGACAAAACCAAGTCTGATTTTGGTCATTTTAAATAAAAAGTTAATAAGTTTATTGGTAATTCATAGAATTTGAGAAAACATTCCCTCTTTCCTGGAGATGCATGTATGACTTGATAATATAGCAAGATACCTAAGAGCAAGTTATTGCTGTTGTATTTCTAACCAAAAGAAATATTTTCTGTAATTTATTTAGTTGAATTACAAAGAGGAAGAATACTTTGAGAATATCTTGAAAAACCTGATGTTTAGCCAAAATAAACAGCTAAAGAAGCTCCGAGAAAAAGTGGATAAGGAAGAGTACGTAAATTCACGTTTGTATGTTTTCTTTGTTCCTCGTTCTGGAGTGTTCTTGATGTCTTTTGTGTGTGCATGCCTTATGTCCTCACATCAGTGCCTTCTCAGTGAGATGTCCCTTGTAACAAAGAACGAAAGAACAAAAGAGCTCTGCTGAAAGACCCAAGTCTAGCCTTTGTTTGGTTAAGAATCCCCGCCCCATTCCATGCCAAGAGGCCAACACCTCTTCGAAGAATGGCAAGAAGCCCTGAGAAGGTCCCTAATCTTCTCCTGAGCCAAGGCTGGTCACTAGAAGGATACAGCATTCAGTTTGTTTGGTTTTTTTTTGTTCCTTCAAATTATATTGTTGTAGTCATTGTATACATATATATGTGTGTATACATCTGTGTGCACATACACATACACACGTATATGTGTTTGTGTGTGTGTGTGTGTGTGTGTGTGTGTGTATGTGCATCCAGCCTCATAAACTTACTAACTGGGTAATCCTGAGCAAGTCACTTAAACCTCTGTCTGCCTCAGTTTCCTGAAGCGTAAACTAAGAATCAGAATAGCACATGCCTCCTAGAGTTGTTGTGAATATCAAATGAGATAATAATTGTAAAATGCTTAGTACAACGTTTGGCACATAGTAAGCCCTTTATAAACATTAGCTATCCGTTATCATTGTCATTATTATTCTAGATTGCTTTCATGAATAGCCAAGCAAATTCAGAACTCTAACAACTTGCTATTGTACCTTTCTTTTCCCCAGCCCCTCTTAGACAGACCAATGTCATCTTTTGTCATATATAACCAACTCTTGTGTGGAAGACCTCAGAGTTGTTTTGATTTTTGTGGTTGTTCAGTCATTTCCAATTCTTCATGACCTCATTTGGGGTTTTCTTGGCAAAGATACTAGAGTGGTTTGCCATTTCTTTCTCCAGCTCATTTTACAGACGAGGAAACTCAGACAAGGGGAATTAAATGACTTGTCCAGGGTCACACAGCAATTAAGTGTCTGAGGTAGGATGTGAACTCAGGAAGATGAGTTCCTGACTGCAGGCCCAGCACTCTACCTACTGTGCTACCTAGCTACCCACAGACTAGGAAGGACCCGAGAGATCATCTGCTCCAATGCTAATTAATTAGCAAGGTAGTGAGAGGTTTGACTTTTACCTTTTTCTTAATATTAAGGATTCAAAATAATCTTTCATTCAGTCATTAATATTTAATAATTCTTTTTCTGAAAATTGTTCATACCCTTTGATTACTAAGACTATTGGTAAAAAGTCTCTTCCTCTTATATATGTGTATTAATTCCCTATATATCTTGGATATCAGACACTTAACAGAAGTATTTGAAACAAAGATTTCTCCCCCATCCCATTTTCAGCTTCCCTTCTTATGTTAGCTGCATTAATTTTGTGTATACAAACATTTTCCAATTTCATATTATTGGAATTATCTATTTTATCTTCTGTAATCTCCTCTACCCCTTGTTTAGTTAAGAATTCTCCCCTAGTCAAAATTGTGAAAGATACTCTTCTAATTATTCTATGGCATAAATGTGAATAATAAGGTCATGTCATCATTTTGAGCATATTGTTTTCTGTAGTAAAGATATTGAGCTAACTCTAATTTCTATCAAACAGATTTCCAGAAGTTGTCAGATAGGGAGTTCTTCCCTCAGGTACATTGACATTTATAATCCATTCATGTGACATTTTATTTCATTGTAATATTTTGTTCCCTTTCCCTTTCCTGAAGTGAAATGTCTTTCTCAGTGGCATACAACTCAGTAAAGTCACAATAAGCCCAGTACACTCACTGACCTTTAGGACTACACAGCTATTTATGGTCATACCATTGCTCTAAGAACTTGCCTCTATTTCAGCATACATAACTGAAGACCTCCGAGCTATGTCATTTCTTCATTCTCTCATTTCTTCATTCATCCCTGCTTGGTCCCTCACCTTCTCTCAGATAAGCTGATCCAGCGCCTTTTTGGTCCAATCTACTGATCGCTTCCTACTGTTCTCATCTGGTCGGAATTTCATGCGTGATCTTCGATCTCACTGCAATCATTCAGTTGGGTCTCAAAAATCCATTGCCTTTATGAATTGGAAGCATAGATTTAAAAGTAGTCAGTACAGAGGTAATACTTCCCCAAAACACACCCATTGCCTATTAGTTAGCACATTGGATATGAAGTCATGAAGAGCCTGGTTCAAAACCCACCTCGAATGAACACTTTGACCTGGGCAAATCACTTAATCTGTGTGCCCTTCATGTACAATGGGGTTACTAATAGGACCTACCTCATAGTGTTACTGAAGGATAATGTGTTAGAGTATTTATATGAAAGTCAACTGTTAACTATAATTTTAAGGCTCTGGGAATTCTCCTTCATCCACTTATGCTCAAATGAACTTCTCCTTTATTTGCAAATAATAAATAGTTCATTTAGCTAGTGGTGAGAGGTGGTCTGGTGAAGTAGAAGGTGGAGGAGGGAGCACAAGCATTTTTTAAGTTTTAAAATGAATGTGCCAGGCTCTGTGCTAAGTATTTTTTTTAACAAATATTCCATTTGCTCCTCACCACAGTCCTGGGAGGTTGGTGACATTATTACCCTCATTTTACAGAAAGGATACTGAGGCAGGCAGTGGTTGACTTGCACAGGGTCACACAGCTAGTAAGTATCTGAAGCCTGATTTGAACTTGTCTTCCTGACTCCAGGCTCAGTGCTCTGGGCATTGCACCACCAAAGTGCCTTGTAGAAAGAACACTGTGCTTGACCTCAGGAGACTTATGCTCAAATTCTTCCTCAGACATTTAATAGCATGTGTGCTTATGAGCAAGCCAACTGACCTTTCAGAGCCTCAGTTTCCTCATCTATAAAATGGGTCTGATAATAAATACCTTATCTTACTCAATGGATCATAGATCTAGAGATGGAAAGTCTGGCTCTCTCCTTTTATAAAAAAGAAGGAAACTGAGGACCAAGTGATTTGCCCAAGGTCACACACAGGTAGTAAGCATCAGGAGGTAGGATTTGAATCTGTTCCTCTGAGTCCAGAGGACAGAGATTCCTCCACTGTACCAAGGAAAGAGCTTTGCAAGTCTTTAGGGTCCTTGAAAATTTGAGTAAAGAGCTATCTCCATATATATAGATAAATCAATTGGCTCATTCATCTGTGTCTTTGCCTGTCTCTTAAGTGCAGGCCCCTGGAGGGTAGGAGCTATGCTGCTTTCACATCATTGTAGCACACCCAAGACAGCATCATGCTGAAGCAGGCAGCTCCATAAATTCTTTTCCATGATGGCAGTGATGCCCTGTACTCATTACCAGGAGTACACACTGAAATTTGACCTAGGTTCCTCCATGACTTTGCTGACAGATACCCTGGAACATCGGTAGAATGTTCTGAGCCCCTGCAGTGCCAGGACACTTTTAAACACAGGCTGTCTTCAGGGCAAGGTATGGAGCCAGCAATCGACTGGTCTGAAAGAAGCTGGAACTAATCACACCGTTTCTGAGCTAAATGTTGAGAATCCCAGCTGCAGAAAGAGAAAGGTCAGGGGATAAATACACTTAACTCTACAGCTACTACATCCTGCATCTGGAAGCCCTAAAATACTCATTGAAAAGATCATCCTGTCAGTCTGAAAAAGAAAATCACCTTGTTATGTAGCTTTTTTTTTCAATTTTTAAAATGTCTTTCATCTATCAGAACACATTTCATGTCTTTAAAATACTCACAATTTAAATTGGAAAGCTGTGCTATATAGATGTCATCAGCCAAAGTTAAGAGACAGAATAGGATGTTGGGTAATGGGTTCCCAAGGTTCCCAAGGGAACCCATCATTGCATTTGATTGGAGGAGAGGAAAGGATAAGTTAGATAAGTGCAAGCAATGAAACCTAAAAAGATCTGAAGGAAACGATACTCAGGTAATCCATAAAGCTAGAGAAGTCAGGTCAATAATGCTTTATTAAGAGCTTATTATGTGTTAGTGAGTCATCACAGAATCATAGAGTTGGCAGGAACCTCAGTAACTATCTGGTCCAAGCCAGATGTGAAAGGCACCCAGACAGTAACATAGCCAACAAGTGGCGTCCAGCCACTGCTTGAGGAAATCCAAGGAGAGACTTCCAAGCATCATTTAGCTGCAGGGAATATCAGCCGGTCACTACCTTGCCTCAGTGCATCTCTGGTGGATCACTTAGTCTGTTTGTCTGTGGTGTAGCTGAACCAGTCAGGGAACTGAGAAAATCCAAAAGTTTGCCTATATGCCCATACTTGACAGTGCTTTCTGCTCTTTTTCCATCTTTATCTGCATCTTTTTGTGATTCATCCTTCCTTAACCAAAGTCTCAGAGTGATCAACACTGGATTTCAAAATTGTTTCAAACATCTTGACAACTGGAGTCTTGTGTTCAGGGCATCACATTTTAGGAAGGGCCCACAGGTTGCATGATTTGTCCTTCATTCTCAAAAAGAATCTTGACATCAGGAAGATGAAACTGATGAGGACAACCAAGATGGTGGAAGGTCTCAGGTATATGCCCCATGAGGGTCAGTTGAAGGAACTGGGGGTGGACCTGAAGAAGAGAAGATTTGGAAAGGGGTCCTTGAGAGCTGGCTTTAAGTATTTGAAGAGCTGTCTTCATGAAAGATGGTTTAGACATGTTCTCGTTGGTCCCAGGAGACAGAGCTAGAAGCAACAGGTAGACATAAAAAGGAGGCAAATTTTAACTTGCTTCCAGGGAAAAGACTTCATGGTAGTTAGAGTTGTCAAACTGTAGAATGGATCCCCCCCCCAGGCTTGGTGGGTTGCCCCCCAACGGAGGTCTTCAGGCAAAGTCTGGAAGAGCACAGTCCAGGTATTTTGTAGAGGTCATGCTTCTAGGCATTATTTTGATCCAGTAACTGATGACTTCCCTTCCCTCTGGTTTTCAGACCTGTTATATTTACAAAAGAATCACATTCATATTCTTCATATGTTAATGACTTGATAGATCTCTAAACATGCCATTGTT